GGGTATGGAAATTATATAATACACACTCTAGAACATTTTCATCTTAACATATTACAGAGTGTACAATTACACAACTAACATAACACTTGCAGAACTAGTATTGTTCGATGCTGAATTAATATAAACGAGTATGTTTATGACATTCAGTATATATTTCATAATTTCCAGTCTTAAATCCGTCTGACCGTGTAGCTCAGTGGGTAGAGCGTCGATCTAGTAATTGGAAGGTCGCGGGTTCGAGACCCAGCCGCGGCAGACAACATCTTTCTGCTTGCGCTGAGTATGGAAATTATATAATACACACTCTAGAACATTTTCACCTTAACATATTACGGTACAATTACACAACTCAACATAACACTTGCAGAACTAATATTGTTCGATGCTGAATTATATATATATATATATATATATATATATATATATATATATATATATATATATATATATATATATATATATATATATATATATATATATATATATATATATATATATATATGCCTTTTGTCTATTAGAACTAACTCAGATTTACATATATGTTGTATTTTCTTGACATAACACATTCCAGGGCATGTGAACTATCGGTCAGATTATGCAAAATCAGTTTCTCGCTCGTTTTCCGGGTATCGAGCGAGAATAAGTTTTAATGTGAGAATAAAGCCCGTTCTCCACTAGGCGAATTTATTCGCGCGAACAGATAAAAAGTAGGAAGCGATCCTACTTTTTCGCCGCGAATTTTTTCGCCGACCAATCACGTTGCCGGATTTCGGTTTTCGCTTCGCGTCGCGCGAACAAATTCGCGTAGTGGAGAACGGGCTTAAAGGGCATTGTCATTGGAACTAAAGATGTAGTTAGTCGCATTTCGAAAGAACGTTTAAAGTTATGGATTAAACTGTTGGAATATTTTAGTTCAAATTGTTGTGGAATACTTCGAAAATTAACAACGAAACAAAGACCAATTTGTATCTAATATAATCAATTGAATTTATAATTTTTTCCTTATCTCCCAGTACTGCAATAAAGATTGTAAACAGAGCACTTATAGATATAAATCTATGTTGCTACGCAGGCTTCACAATTTTAACAGACCTTTCCAGTAATTACGTCACAACTACACTGTTTTCAACTTAGGACCACCTTAAATGGATTATCATTTCAAGTTTGTTTCTCACGGGCTGTGGTCAGAGACGCAGAACATCCTTCGTCAACACATGCATAAAAAGAATTTTGGATTTTGACTATTAAATGTGGAAATAAGCTTAAACACGAGAACGAGGCTGAGCATGACCCCTCATGACCCCGTGTTTAAGCTTATTTCCACATTTATTGGTCAAAATCCAAAATTATTTTTTATGCATGTGTTGACGAATGATGTTCTGCTCCTCTGACCATAGCCCGTGAGAAACAAACTTAAAATCCATTTCATTTAGGGTGGTCCTAAGTTGAAAACAGTGTTAGTCGTGACGTAATTGCTGAAAAGGTCTGTTGTGCAACATAGAGGGTACTACAGTAGATCTTACATAGATCTACATCTTAAGTGCTCTGTTTACAATATTTATTGCTATACTAGGGATAAGGAAAAAATTATAAATTCAATTGATTATAGATACAAATTGGACTTTGTTTCGTTATTAATTTTCGAAGTTTTCCACAACAATTTATCCAATGCACTGCCAGGAAACTCTGTCCAGCTTTTACACGTACAGTAGAGTTATGCATGTGTTTTAAAAGTTTTCGTAACTATATTTTGTGCACTTAAAAGACATTGGAACTAAAAATTTCGTTTGTCTCATTTTGAAAGAACGTTTAAACTTATGGATTAAATTAGCTGTTTGGATATTTTAGTTTTCCGCAGATTAGAAAGCAATGTGCATGCAGTCCGCCATCTTGGATTAATTAATAACCTCATTACAGGTAACCATGGTTTTGATGACATCAAGAGTTAGGGTTAGCCTTATAAAATTACCTGGCAAAGATCAAAATTTGTTTACTAAAATGTTTGTATTCTTGTTAAATTTGAAATAGCGAGCAAGAACGCGTTTTGAGCTCACAATGATCACTAGCTCTCAACATAAAAACATTTGCGTGACCCCACTTGTGACGTACATGCATATCCTGAATAATCCAAGATGGCTGACAGCAACATCATGATCAAAACACTGTTAAAGGTCGGTATTGATTATTCGTAAGGCTCGTTTAAGCGAGGCAAACTAAAGTTTTACTGCCAATGTCCTTTAATTATTTTTCATTTAATATTATAGGCTGTAAAACTTCATTCTCCGTCCATGAATTATCTTATTCATTCTCCAATATTTGCTGCCTAAAGTTGTAAGCAATGCTGCCCAGCTACAGGTACTAACGAAGGGTTTACAGTAGTGGCGTAACTAGAGGGTGTTTCAGGTGTTTGGGAGTCCAGAGGCGGGAGGACCCCAGGCAAAAATGACCATAGAATTTTTGCTAATACATTGGGCAAATTGGCCCGAGCCTCAGTTCTGAGGGTCAGAAAATTTGCAACGGGTGGTCCCCAAAAGTAGGATTTGGTGAAATTGTAAAATTTGGACCCACTTTTTTGGTAGACATGGATAGGAAATAATTTTTGTGTTTGATAGGGAACATTTTTTGTCCCCCCCCCTCCCCCACCTCCGCTGGCCAACTTTTTTGGGAAATAATAGGGCCACACTTAAAAAATTGACGGGGGGCCTCAGGAGGTTCCGTTGTACAGCCTCGTAGGCAGGCGGTATTTTTACAGGCAGCGAAAATTAGGGAGGCAAAGGTATTTCCTTCGCCTCCCTAAAAACCGCCTGCCACGCATGCTAAAGCTGGAGTAATACGAACAATAAAATTGCTGCAACTTTCAACAAAATCTAATTTCTTCTTTAATAAAGTAGAAATGTTGACACATGTTGCCTCGTGACTTGTAATGTATATGTGAACATTCTCAATTAACATGCGTTGGAATCAGATTTTGTTGCAAGTTGCAGCAATTTTGTTGCCCGTATTACTCCACCTTAAGCTATAAGGGAAATTATATGCTGAGAAAAAAATAGGGCCCTATACAGGGTGTTCCGGCAAAAAAACCCCAAACTAGTGAAATAACGTATTGATAGAATTTGAATGCCCTAGCACTATGGTAAAGATGCGTAAAATATTGACAGGGTGCATATATTATAAATATTGACTGATTAAGAAATTAAAATGAAATGATTTGTTACTCTTGCATGGAAGTTAAAGCAGCTTCTTAAATTCTATAAAAGAGGATAACTTAGCAAAAATGATAAAATTACAAATTAGTCATACTATCAGTTCGGGAGAAAATGGTTCAACTCACCACAGAACGAGTTAACTTGTCTAACATAAAAATAATTAAAACGTGCGTATTACGTCATAAACTCTCGTACAAACATTCATAAACAGTGTCTTTATACATAAAATTTACTTATGGCAAGCTTTTTATGCACTTGTGGATTCAGCAGAGGGCTGAGGCATTCAACGTTATTTGAATAGTTTTTGGGTTTTTGGGACACCGTGTACAATAATACAATACAATAATTTATTGAACTCTCCCCAACGGGGCTTTTCGGAGCCAATTAACATTTACAAAAAATTATAAGATATACTAACTTGAAATTCTAACTAACTAATTACTGGTATGGATGTAAAAATTGTTAAAGGCCAAATGCTACCATGAATGATTTCCTAAAAGATATTTACGTAATTTATGTTTAAAAATGTTAATTGATGAACTACATTTAACGTTCTCTGGAAGTTCGTTCCATAAGGAGACAGCACGGTAATAGAATGTCCGTTGGCCAGTTGCGCTCTGAAAAAGGGGATGTTTAAAGAACTTGAGTTCCTCATGCAACCGTCCATTGATGTCGACTCTCCTCACAAATTGTTGAGACAAAGATTCCGTTGTTATTCCTTTTAGACATTTGAATGGCCGTTTTTATACTAGAGACGCATTATGCGTCTGGACGAACTTGGGCAAGCATTTGTTGTTCGTCTGGTTATGCGTCCTTAGTATAAAGACGGGCACAAGACGCATTATGCGTCTAGACGAACTATGTTCGATTCTTCGTCTTAAGAGACACACAACCGATGATATAGTTCGTCTAGACGTATAATGCGTCTTGTGCCCGTCTTTATACTGAGGCCGCATAACCAGACGAACAATAAATGTTGATAGTTCGTCGCATTGGCCGTTTTTATACTAGAGACGCATAATCCGTCTAATACATTACTCGTCTAGTATTATTCGTCCCGTCTTTATACTAGACGAATAATGTAGAAGACGCATTATGCGTCCAGACGCATAATGCGTCTCTAGTATAAAAACAGCCAATGTGTGTAGTTCATTTTGTAATGACACGTTTGATGTTTGCCGTTAAAATAGTTATGAAACGGATTTCAGGAAAAAAAACAGGATATACGCTATTACATCTTATTGAGGGCATGAACGCAAATTGTTCTAGAACATTTCGCTAATTCAGAAACAAAGACGGCTAATTCAGAAACAAGGCTAATACAGAAACAAAGACGTATTTGCAAACGTGAATAAATTATAATTTTTTTCCCATTTTCCCCGAATAGCATGCAATAATCACAATGTATATAAAGAACTTGACCAGTCGACACATGCTACGTAAGAAGCTTTTGTCATCGGATTCAGTCAAAAGGTTCTGAGTAACACGTTTCTGTCATATTGGCTATTGCATGTTTTGCGATTTTTTAGTCTGTTATTAAAATTCAAGCGACGAAGGTCAGTAGGGGTAACTTGTGGGGGTTGATATTGTTTTCAATTTTGGACAAATGGGGGAAAAGTGTAACGTCAAACCGGATGTTGGCCCTTGCCCTTGGCGAAATGGCATCCCTTCGTTTGCAAAAGCTTCAAAACAGAGCTGCTTGCATAACAGCAAGTGTTCCTAATGATGTTGAGCAGCAAACTGTACTGAATTTATTAGGATGAAAAACACTCAAAACACAAAGAATAAAAGCTAAAGCAAAAACGGAAACACTGACGAAAACCCAAAGCAAAAAGACTGAAATACTTCATAATATGGGACCAAATTGTCTTAAAGAATTTTTAAAATAATTTTGTGTTCAGTTAATTTAAAGAATCAGCATTTACTTTCAAAAAAGGAATATTAAACCACAATCTTCGTGATAGCTCAAGTAACGTTCGAATAGTTTGAGAAAGAGTTTTAATTATGTACGATGGTGCCTTCATATTAATATATAGAGTTCTTTACCAGAAAACATAAGAGAAAGCAAAATGCTTTCAAGTTTGGAAAGGAAAATCGCTATACCCAATCGCTTTCAAAAACATCATTTTTGATTTTTGTAAATATGTATAAAATTTTATATTCGCATGCTCATTTCTTACTGTTCTTAAATTTGTACTATGTGATTGTTTTCTATTTTTACACAAGTCTTTTATGCTTTTTGGGACTGAATTTATTTTAATTTCTCTTATTTCTTTATCAGTATAAACTTCCACAAAACGGCTAGCCGCCATTTTGCAAATGTTGGTTTTGTTATATTCACCTGTAGGTGAATATAACAGCTTAATACGTCAAATTTGTCCAATCAACTTCATCATCATCCCCAGTACTGGAATATTTCTGCTAGATTGCAGGCATAGGCGAACAGGCGGAAAGATTAGGGGGTGGACAGTGGAATAAAATATTCCCGACATTGATCATGGGTTTATTTGTCATGGGATAGATGAATAGGAGGTAAATCAGAAAGAACACATATATATTCTATACAGACGCGCAATCTTATTGTAAGGCAATCTTATTGTAAAATTAATAAGGCAATCTTTATAAATTTTATAAGGCAATCTTATTGTAAATGATATATAAAAAATATACTATTTACAAGTATTTCTGGGATTTCCTTCCTTTTTTAATTAGATACATAAAAAACTTCTCATTTTCCTGCGTTAGCAAGGGCCTTAGCTTTGGTTTAGCTAACTTCCGTTTCGAGATTATAATGACGTCTTTTACGCTGGCAAAAAGTACTCCAAAATCGCCACAGGTGTTGTAACTTCTTTTCACTTGCATCCTGCTATTAAACGACATTTTCCATGAACAAATAGAGCAGAATTGCAAAGATAGAGTGATTCAAAATTCGAAAAATCCGCCATTTTGTTAGTAAAAATAGAACAAAATGGCGGATTTTTCTTATAATTTCTTTATGAAAAAAATGAATTCCTAAAACGAAAAAGACACGAAAAGTTTTCGGCAATTTGTTCAATGTTTTGATGACATTATCCAGCACAGTGTCATCACACATTGGCTACTTTGTCTTTGTATAGTAGTTCTCACTCCTAGTCAAATTAAATATGGTGGATTTATAACAGCACACTTGAGAAAAAGTGGAGCGAGGCATGATTCGTGATTAAGTGCGCATTCTATATCTATTATTTATATAGTATGGTTGTAATGTGGCCATATTTCGGGGAGGGTGGGGGGGGGGCGAACATGTGGTTTGATGATAAAATGTACCCTCATTTCTTACATTAAAGTGACTTGAACGAACGCAAGCGTGCACGAGTCAAAAAGTCTTTATGCCGGGTATTGGTCAACTGTAAACAGAAAAAGATCTTTGAACATGCATACATGCGCAAATTTTTCCCCATCGTTACTATACATAAATTTGCAGTTTGCCAGCACGAAACACAACATTCTTGACTGGCGAATCACTCGTTGTCTTGAAGTCTAAAAATGGCGAAAACTTTGTTCCTCTTGGTCTGTTTGGTGATTGGTTTGGCCCGTACAAGGTAAACTTGGGCATAATTGATTAATTTGCTAAATATTTTTCTAAAGATATGCATGTGCTGTATTTTATTCAAACGTCCAGAAATAAGTGGTGGCAGTTAAGGCAATTTTAATACCTGGACGAAGATTCTTGTTGACTTTTTTGCAGTCCGTCATGTTCATGCATGTAAATTTAAGTTCTCTCAGCACTTACATAATTGTATACTAAAGTATATATGCTTATATGTTATTCTCATTTGCTGATGTTCCAGGCAACAGGTTTATAGTTTAAACACCATTTTAATTAAACCGAATACTGATGAAGATAGCAAATTTGAATAGCTCTTTGGGGAAAGAATCGAATTGTCTGTGTTTTATAGCACTAATTGTGTATTTTAATAATTTTACATTTTAGTTATGCAGGCTTGCTAGAAAATTATTTTCGTCACAGTAATGATGAACGTGTAGATTGTCGACGGGGAGATGAGCGCGAGGACGACGCAGAAGGTCCACCGCAATGTAAGAAAACATTTTCTTTGGGGGGTGGGGGAGAAATTTCCCCAAAGTTTTGTGGCAGATTTTTCAAGAAATTGCGAGATTTTTAGCTATTGTGTGGGATTTTTAGCGACGATTGACATGTTTTCCAGATTTTTCGAACGATTTTTATGGAAAGTGTATCAGGATTTTGGAGTAATTCACATCGATCACCCAGGGGGCGGTTGTACGAAGCCTGCATGGATAGTGCTATTCGTCGGATTAAAGTTTATAAATTAAACTTTCTTTTGTTTAATTATGTTGTGCAAATGTTTCAAGCAATATTTTACAACAATTGAAATAGCACTATCCGACCATCTCGAACTCTTTAATAATTCCTGAGTAAATCAGCCAACCATATTGCTTTATTTTGCTCATTTGATTCACCCCACTAGTGACTTATTCGTATATGGATGTCATTTTAAATCATCCAGTTCGGACTGGACTAGATTTCAAGTTCTTGCATTTTGATCCATGGTAGCCTACTCGGCTTTGCCTCGCACTTGATCAAATTGCGCGCGGACTTGAAACATAGTCCAGTCTTCATAGTTGGATTTGAAATATTACTTCGTACAACTGAGCCCAGCAGTCTTTATAAGAAGACATACGTCTTATTAGATTCTTTTCATTTCAGTTTATTTATCATTAAAACCTGCTGGAGAACGTTTGGCCTATGGTCAGAACCCCGAGTATAAGTACAAGCGAGTGTCGTTTGCACCGAGAGGCGTGATCGGAAATAGTCTTCTGCCATTCTATTTGCCTTTGTGTTCTGATTATTCGCTCCAACCGGCTGTTGTAATTGAAGGGAAAGAGCAGGAATTATACGTGGATTCAGTTTTGCAACTCTACATGGAGATAAGGACGAGCAAAACAGTGAATACCAAGAAGTCAATCTGACGTATAATAATGGAAGCGCTTTCGTTATTTTCCACCCTGACCCTTTCCTACCCATTCAAATCTTGTGTCCGGTCAAGGGACAGAATGGAGCAGAGCTTTCAGCGGATTGTAGCAGTAAATACTCTTTGGAGAGAGTTGCACGAGTAAGTGCTTTCTTGTTCCAGATAACATTTTATATATGATCTAGTTTATACATTGAAAATCTTGACTAATGTTATCCCATGCTGGATCGAACTGTATTAAATGAACGGCTTCTCCTTGGAAGTGACACAGATTAGGCCGGCCAGGGCCTCTTAAGAATTTGTCAGTGGGGAGGGCAACCTCGTTCCTAGGCAAAAGAACCCAACTACGAGGTTGTGAAATGGAAAAGTGGTATTTTTGGAGTGTTTCCGTGTCTGGGGGGCCACCCCTAGGCATTTTTTGTATTTCTCAGCGTCTGAAGCTTGACTTTTGAAGAGCCCAGTCAAACTGGATCTGGGGGGACTTGCCCTCTCCAGTCTTTTGGGTTAAAAAGGGCCCTGGTAATGGCAATCTCTCATTGATCCCATACAGGCCTAGTGTTTAATACATGAAGAAACAAGAAAGTCATATTGGCTGAAAAATACCAATGATGTTGGTAAAATGAACCTGGTTATTATATCATTATTTTCTTCCGACATACATGCATGTAGGACCGAGGCACTGACTGAATTTTGATTATGCATAGATCTGCTTAGTGCTGGAATCAAACCGCAGTCTGAGAAGTAATATGTGCACTCAACCACTACATTGCCTGTAATCTTACCTTTGCTCATGATCATCCTAATGTGTACATTTTTGTTTTATTTGATTGCTCTTTCATTTTATTTCTATTTTATTATTTACAACAGGTGAACTGAAGACTTTAAAGTTCTCTGACTTGACTTTTCTTTAAGTAGTAAAAACCGTAGAATAGTACCAAATAACTGTTATGATCACTGGTTAGAATTTGATGTTAATGATGTAATGGAATAAATAACAAATAAATATTTTGTTCTCGGTACATGTTAAAACGATTATTGTGTCTACCGTGTGGATTATATACCTTATGTTATACAGCTTAAAAAACCAGGTGCTTAGTAGTAGAAAATCTGTTTCCAAAATTGACTATATATAGGATATAGTGCTCAACGAGTATATATTTTATGAAACTCAGAGGCTAGCAAATTACAATGATCAGATATAGTGATTATGAAATACAATGTAAAACCATGGATTACATTGTTAGGTATTGTACCTATTGTTTCGTGTGCATTCAAGCAAATTCGGTCTATTGCCTGTACATTTTATGCTATATGGTTCTTGACACTTCAAGTGCACCCCAAAATTTTCAGAAAGTATATATTTGCATCACTTCTTAACCCTAATCGAGCATTTCAAAACGAAATTGTGTGTAGAAGATTTTTCATGTATAAAACAAAATTGTGTTTTAACAGTTTTGAAAATAATGCTATAAGAATATCTTTTCAAAGTTCGTAACTTACCAAAGGGTAAATAATTGTATCGACTGAAAATGTTTTCGGCGTTAGCACGAATTAGCATCCATATATAGGCATAGTAAATCGTAGTAGCTATGTATACGTATACCAATCTGGAAAACAACTGAGACTGCCAACATTGTACCTTTCAGCAGTTTGGAATTCAATTGGTATGTCTATATGCAGGCAATGTGCCGTCCTGAAACCTGAGGGGCATGGTTTTGACTTTTGGTTTGAATTTTGGGATATAGGGTAATGCAGGGCAAAATGAGACACCTAAGGACATTTATTGTTGTAGAATGGAAGGCATAGCAATTTGAATTTTCTTTTTGACTTGGGTATGTGAGGTTAACTCACAGCAAGATATGTAAAGCAAAAAAAAATGTTTGAAATAATTTATTTGCGAGAAATCAGGGAAAACCTAACAGTGGTAATTGTCTCATTTTGCCCCGCCACAATGGGGCAAAATGAGACAGAACTAAAAAATTAAAAATAAAGTCAATATAATAATACTTATTTTAATAGAACTTCAGAACTAATTATAAAATACATGTTTCAAATCATTTTGAAGTTCAATGTCACACACACAGGTCACACTGGCTGCGGTAACAGTACAGCATTCTTCGTGACACCATTGTTTGCATTGTGAACAAGTCATCCAATCCTCGCTAGGCATTGACTTTGACCAAAGTTCACCGCAAAGTGATAAATTTTTTAGCCTACCACTGACTCGGCGATTTAATACATCCTTTGGTACCCCGTAGGCAGTTGCAGCTTTCGTATTGACAGTTCTTTCTCTCAACTGCAGAGATGGCAAGACGGATTTAATGCTCATCCCAGTTTACACGTTGAGTTTTAATTGTGTACATAGTTCCTGACCACCCTAAATAAAATAAAAGTTTGCTTTGTGACATGGACTAAGCTGTTTATAGCATAAAATATATGACATATGAACTTATGATACTTTATAGAATGAAAGTACATATTGATTCAATCAGAAATATAAACCCTTTTAACTTTTCCCAAACAGGAGAAAGTCGGGTATTAAATCAGTAATCGAGGACTTCAATATAACACAAATAGTACTGGTAATAATCCAAGATAGTATTTATATCATATATTGACAAATGACAATAAAGCAAGGCACAGTAAAAGGTGAAATGAACAGCAATCACACTGAACAAATATATATTACTTGGTTTGGCTATTCCATTTAATATCCATATCCCCCCTGTCGAGGATACATGTTTTTCATAGTTATACCCCTGAACAATTCCAAGCTCAAAACTGTTTACCCCTGAAGAATTCCAAAATTCCAAGCTCAAAACTCTTTACCCCTGAAGAATTCCAAGCTCAAAACCTTTTACCCTGAAGAATTCCAAAATTCCAAGCTCAAAACCCTTTGCCCCTAAAGAATTCCAAGCTCAAAACCCTTTACCCCTAAAGAATTCCAAGCTCAAAACCCTTCACCCCTAAAGAATTCCAAGCTCAAAACCCTTTACCCCTGAAGAATTCCAAGCTCAAAACCCTTTGCCCCTGAAGAATTCCAAGCTCTGAAAAATTTTATTCTCAAACCTCTTTACCCCTGAAGAATTCCAAGCTCAAAACTGTTTACCCCTGAAGAATTCCAAAATTCCAAGCTCAAAACTCTTTACCCCTGAAGAATTCCAAGCTCAAAACCTTTTACCCTGAAGAATTCCAAAATTCCAAGCTCAAAACCCTTTGCCCCTGAAGAATTCCAAGCTCAAAACCATTTACCCTGAAGAATTCCAAACTCAAAACACTTTACCCCTGAAGAATTCCAAGCTCAAAACACTTTACCCCTGAAGAATTCCAAGCTCAAAACCCTTTACCCCTGAAGAATTCCAGGGATCCTCGACAGGGGGGGTACGGATATTAAATGGAATAGCCCTTTAGACTCAGCTGTCTCATTTTGCCTCAATGGTATGAGTTCAAGTCAGTCAAATAAACACGCCAAAAATCAAAGTATAGATGAAAAATAGCCAAAAATACCACGTGTGACTTGAAAGACCATGTTATAAATCCCATCAAACAAGTAGGTTTTATTCGATACATGCGATGTTCTAGAAATAACAATCGGTTAGCTAAAATAGCTAAGTAATAACGTACCTTTAATTGCCGATCGATCATCCAAATTGGTTTTTAAAAAATCGTTATTTTCTCGTTGTTGCAGTGCAAATAAAACACTGTTTTCGACGAAGTATACAAGCAAAAATGTTTGTTATGAGCCTGCGATGATTGTGGTATAAATAATTAAATAGAACGTCATATAAGCGCGAATGAGTCGGAATGTCTCATTTAGCCCCATGCCACTGTCTCATTTTGCCCGGCATTACCCTAAATCTTACAGTTTATGCTTTTTTGTCTGAAAACTGAAGTTGAGTGCTCTTTCGCCTAAAAAGGATGAGAGAATGAAAATCTTGCACCCAGGTCCTGTAATGGTGGGTTCAACAGAGTGCTGAGGCATTCAAATTCTAACAATAGGTTAATTTAATATAGTTTTGGTTTTTTTGGGACACATTTTGGAATGACACGTTTGATGTTTGCCGCCTCCAAAATAGTTATGAACGGATTTTAGAAAGAAAACTGGATATACACTATTACATAGTCTTATTGAGTGCATGAACGCAAATTGTTCTAGAACATTTCGCTAATTCAGAAACAAAGACAACTAATTCAGAAACAAGGCTAATACAGAAACAAAGACGTTAATTCAGAAACAAGGCTAATATAAAAACAAAGACGTATTTGCAAACGTGAATTAATTATAATTTTTTCCCATTTTTCCCGAATAGCATGCAATATATATAATTAATCACAATGTATATAAAGAACTTGAGTCACTTGACCAGACACATGCTATACGTAAGACGCTTGTCATCGGATTCAGTCAAAAGGTTCTGAGTAACACGTTTCTGTCATATTGCATGTTTTGTGATTTTTTAGTCTGTTACTAAAATTCAAGCGATGAAAGTCGGTTTTGGGGTAACTTGCGGGGGTTGATATTATTTTCAATTTTGGACAAATGGGAGAATAGTGTAACGTCAAACCGGATGTTGGCCCTTGGCGAAATGGCATCGCCTCGTTTGCAAAAGCGTCGAAGTTGAGTTTTAATTAAACAATAAATGCAAACTTGTTACAAAATTTGCAATAAACGCCGCACCTTAAGCGCCAAAAATTTAATAAACGCCGCGGCGTTTATTCGAATAAATATATATATATATATAATATATATATATATATATATATATATATATATATATATATATATATATATATATATATATATATATATATATATATATTATATATATATATATATATATATATATATATTATATATATATATATATATATATATATATATATATATATATATATATATATATATATATATATATATATATATATATATATATATATATACATTCTACCTATGATTAATGTCGGGCAAATTTCAAGTCCACCCCATAATTTTTTCCGCCTGCACGCCTATGCTTGCAATCTAGAAATATTCCAGTGCTGAGGATGATGATGATAAACTTTATTTAACAACGCTAACATTGTCATATATACAAGTTTAAGAATAGTAAGAAATGTTCAAATGAGCTTGCAAATGTAAAATCTTATATATTTACAAAAATATGTTTTTAAAAGCGATGGGTATAGCGATTTCCTTTCGGTAGAGTTGTATATGGAGGCAGCATCGTACATAAAACTCTTTTTCTCAAATCGCAAACTATTTGAACGTCAGGCTTGAGCTATCACGAAGATTGCGGTTTAATATTCCTGTTTTGAAAGTAAATAATTCTTTAAGACAATTTGGCCCCATATCATGAAGTATTTTGAACATTATTTCCACTCTAGCTTTGATTCTTCATCAAAGATTTCTTGGACTTGGATACACGTCATATTTTTCATACGTCTCTAATACTGCCACTGTTTGATTATGCCGATACCATTTGGGGTGATAAGAACAATTCGGTGCTGATGGATTCCCTTCAAACTTTAGAGAACAAAGCTGCAAAGCTGATCTTAGATGAACATCCAC